TGGGAGGAGCAAGGTTTGGGAGAAGACATTTTTAAGCTAGGACATATGGGGGAGCTCAAATATTAAAGCCATCTGGAAATGATGGGATATTATGAGACAGCATGTGAATATCTGCTTTCTTACAGTCATTTATTGAGTCATAAGGTTGTGAGAAAAGCATTTCCCAGTATGTTCTTCATTCGAAATTAGCATATAGAAATCAGACTTCAGAACTGATAGATTTGCTTTGGTAAAGCTCTTCAAAACAAAAGCTTTGCCAATGTTTGAATTTAAATAAATTCCTATAACTAAGAACAGAAACTCCTATTTTCATATTAACAAATTCACTTCCTCAGCACATATGCCACAGTTCCAGAATTACAAATTGAATGAATACACAATTATGAAAAGAAATTCCAAAGTGATTTTATGGTTTTGATTCCTTGTGAGTTTGGAATTATTCTAAGGTGATCTGAAAATTCTTATTCCTCAAAAGTAGTTTATTAAATAGACATCTATCCCTTTCCTTTGAGAAATGTCAATCACAAAACCACAGTCATATTTTTGTCATTGCTCAAGTACCATAGAAATTGCAGTGTCATAGAAACAGATGCACTTCTCTAATTATAGAGATGGTGACTTTGTTTATAGGCAAATGCAGTTTTCAAACATACAACTAATTCCTTTATATTAACTGGGTCTCCTGTGGCTAGAGTGAAGTTAGCTATCATAAATCTACACAAGGACACCTGTATTAGTTCACTAGGGCTGCCTTAAGAAAATACCACAAACTGAGTGGCTTAAAAAGACACATTTATTGTCTTGGTTTTGGAGACTAGAAGCTTGAAAGCAAAGTATCAGCAGGTGGGTTCCTTTTGAGGGCTGCGGGGGTACGAGTTGTTCCAGGCCTCTTTTCTTGACTTGTAGATGGCCCTCATCTCCCCTGTCTCTTCACATAGTCATCCCTGGGTACATGTCTGTCTCTGTCCAAATTTTCCCTTTTACGAGGACACAGTCATATTGGATTAGGGCCCACCTTCCAGGTCCCATTTTAATTTAATCAGCTCTGTAAAGACTATACCTTAAAATAATGTTACTTTCGAGGTACTTGGGGTGGAACTCCAATATGGGTCTTTTTGGGGGAGTGGGGTGGACACAATCATCATAGGTGTGTTCATATAACTCATGCATCACTTGCCCCCACTGCCGAGCAGGTGGGATGGAACTCCTGGATGACAGGCTGACACAGACAGTTCTTTCAAGGAGGAAAACTAATAATCAATGGAAAGATGATTATTTGTTCACTGGGTCCTCTTTACTATAAGACAAAAGATATTCTTTCCAAAAAAATATAACCCGGACACATCATAATTATCTATCTGTCAGTAAAAGCAATAACTTAGCTTTAAAAAAAATTCGGGAGAGTTTTTATTTTATTTATTTGTCATAATTAACTTTTATTTAACTTAATTACAAGTTTCTGATGATAGGGCATGGTCTTATGCCCAACATACAGTTGTTCTTATGCCTAACATATTGTAAGTTTGTTAAATGAGTAAACAAATGAACAAATAGTTTATGACATTCTGTTGTATACCATTGCATTATCATCTGGAGAGAAGAAAGAGAAAGAGGAAACAAATAATGGAATGACATAATCCTCTCTGTAAATAAAATAAAAATAAAGATTATAGAATATTAGAATTTGGAGACCATTGTAGGAGAAATTCAGTCTCTTACAATGGAGAATTGATGTTCAAACAGATCAACGTTTCTGAGATCATAGGGGTGGTTAGTATCAGGCTTAGGAATAATATGGTATAGTGGAGGCACTTTGAAATCAGAGTTTTTGTTGCTGCCGTTTTTTATACAGGCATTATTTAGATCTGCAGGTCAGTTAAGGATTGGCTGATCTCAGCTGGGCTCAGCTGGGTGACTGTTGATGTCATCTAGGCTCTCTCATGTGCTCTCAGCTGATCTAGGCTGGGCTTGGCTGGGGTGATTTGGCTTTGTCCTTCATGTCTTTCATTTTCCTTTCGGGATCAATGGGCCAAGTTGGGTATGTTTTCATGGCAATGACAGAGGAGCAAGAGAGCAAGCCCAATTGTTGCAAGCATTTTCCAAGCTTTTAGTTATGTTATGTTGCTAATATTTCATTGGTAAAGTCAAAGGGCTGATCCCAAGGCGAAGGAGGAGGATATACTCTCATTCTTCAATGGGAGAAACAATGAAGTCACATGACAAAGGCCACAGATAAGAGGGGAGGCTATGAAGAATTGAGGCCAATAATCTACCACAAACGATGAAAGATGGGGACTGAGAGATAGAAGGTGGGAATTTATAAGATGTGTGCTTTTCCCCTCAAGAATACAGTAAACAAAATCTCGGCTCTACTGTGTAACATTGTGAAAATTGGCTATCTAGCTTCAGTTTCTTCATCTATAAGCAGAGATTAACAATATCTATATTGCTGTATAATTGTGAAGAATATGGAGATGTTATTTATAAAACTTCATCATGTAGTATATTTTGAATTTGTTAGATTCCTTTCCTCTTCTCCTTCAGGGTACTATTTCAGGGTATACATACCTAAAAAACTAGAAGACCATTACAAAGCAAAAAATTTTGGGTGTTTGTTTAAATGTTTGTGCTCTTTACCAGTGAAGCCACCTTGTCCTCTAGTCTTCTTTGGTGGGAGGTTCTGATTAGAATTCAGTCTCTTTCCTTGTTATACGTCTGTTCAAATGTTCTATTTCTTCTTGTGTCAGTTATTGTAGTTTGTGTTTTACTAGGAATTTGTTTCATCTAAGCTTCTGAATTTGTTAGCATACAATTGCTCAAAGTATTGTCTTATAATCCTTTTATTTCTGCAAGGTAAGCAATGATGGCCACATGTTCATTTCTGATTCTGTTTCATAGCTTTTGATGTACCCCAAGTCTTCTAATCCATTGCAGTCATTATTCTTATTGATGTTGTATTAACGCATCCCTGTTCAGCGAGAGCAGCAGGCTGGCTCCTGTGTCTGGGTGACACCACTTCATGAGCCCATGGCAGCATCTTTGATCTGTGAGACACTGAGATGTACTAGTCCATTCTCACACTGGTATAAAGACATACCTGACACTTGGTAATTTATAAAGAAAAGAGGTTTAATTGGCTCATGGTTCTGCAAATATATACATAATGATTTATTGTGCATTACTGATTGCACATTAATGTAGAGGAGGAAAAAATAAGGGGAAAATTTCTTGACATGAAGAGGATATTAAACAAAGATGAATGGACAGGAATAGAAAGGGTCTTCCAAGGATAGAGGGGGACTGGTGTAAAATAAAATGAGGAAATGGTGTTGAAATAAGTAAGTTCAGAAAATAGTCTCATGATAGCGCCTTCTCCCTGTGTGGGATACTAGGGTAGGAGGCATGTGCCAAATGGGTCTTGAAAAAATTTGCAAGATATTTCTTGTCTTATGTCTGTCCAGTACTTTTTCTTCTCCTAGGATTCTTTAGAGATTTGTAAAACTGGAAGAAGATCTAAAGAGATTCAGATGACATGTTCTTTGCTTCTCTCCTACTTTCTGATCTTTTCCATTTATTCTAATCTTTGCTCTGGACATATATACCATTGTGTTCTTTATTCATTAAGCATTTATCACCGGCCAACTATGTGCAAAATATTATATCTGATTTGAGGTGATGAGTTAGTGGTGGTGGGATGCGTGTACAGAGATATATGACAAAGGTTTCTGCTGTCCGGAAACTAGATATTCTCAAGTTGTTCCTTCCACCCACCCACAGTAATTTACATTCTTCTTTCTTGCGCTATCTGCTTTGTTTTTTATCTCAGGCTGACCTCTATGAAAAGGATCAACTGAGCTCTGTTTCTTCTGGCTTCCATTTGAGTTCAGTTGATTGGATGCACCAGTAAGGGGGAAGAGAGTTTGATTTCTGCCCTGCGGGCCTGAGATTTGGCAGTGGCTGGGTTTATACAAGTCACAGATCCCATCCAGCACCCAGACCTTTCCTACAGCTACAGCTACGGCTCTCCTGAGTTCTGGTAACTGCTCCTTCTCTTACCCCTTTAGGCCTAGAGGTAGTAATAGCTTCCACTGTTGCCAGTCCTGAGGTGCTTCATCAATAGTTGTTGGTTTCCCTTAATCCCACCCATACATTTGTAGATAATCCCTTCACTAATCCTTCTTAAATTACTACTTCTGATTGTGCCATCTGTGTTCTGTAGGAATGCTGGCTGATACACCTTCCTACTGTAAAGCCAATATGTGAGTTGAGAGACAGATGGTGGTAATGTGCTTTCCTTCTGAGTACAAGGTTTGCTGGATTAGTGATACCCAATTTATATATATATATTTTTGTACATTTTCCTTTTTGTTTGGAAGATGCTTTTTATTTTTGCTATTTGTCTTCTCTGAGATACTAAAGATAGCATGTACAGTGTAGTATAGTAGCTTTTCCTTTCCTCCCTCCCTCCCTTCTTCCTCTCTCTCTCCCTCTCTCTCTCCTTTCTTCCCTCTCTCCCTTTCTTTCATTCTTTCTTTGTTTCCACATATTTTATTTTAAATATGACAATATACATACACACATATTTAAAATTCACCTTCTACATTATTAGACAAGCTCTTCCTCTAAATGCTGGTTTTTCACAAATTATTTTCATTTGTGTAATCTAAGTCATAAAATTCAAACTGCTAGTAGCGGTAACCACTTTATATTATTATCCCTGTGTATATAAAAGGCACTATGCAAAGTATTACACATATTATATTTAATCCTCACAACTAATTGATATTATTTAATTCATTTAACATCTGAGAAAATACGAAGATTAAATAAGTAGCTCAAGGTTAAATAGCAGTAATTTGCATAACCAAGATATGAACAAAACTTAGTCTTACTCCCATCTCCCATGACATTTTCATTTCAAAACCCCTCTTCTACTTTTCTGACTCTGTTTTTCTCATCTGCCCTTTCTATCAGCCATTAAACATTGCACATGATCTTACCTTAGCTCCAGGAGTTCCTTCACAGTCTTTGAACAAGTCTTTGCATCTCTTTACTGAATTACATAAGTACTTATTTTTGTGGAAAAAATGTTTATGACTACCAGCATTTGTCATTCTTTCTTCTCAACTGCTACGTGCAGGAAAAACAAGAAGGCAACCTCTGAGATGTAATCAATGTTTGGACAAAACAATAGGACTGGTGTTCTGAGGAAAGATATTAGCATTAAGGCCAGATAATTTGGTGCCCATTTTATATGAAAACAATAAAATACTGGTATTTTTTATTCATGCATTATACCTCCTCATGCCGTATACTTCACTCTCAATCATCTCCTTGCACTCTTGCAATCTGTTGCCAAATCTTATATATCCTAACTTTCCAGTATCTCAAGTATTTCTTTTTTCTCTATCCCTGCTATAATTTCCTTTAAAAAGTTTGTTCAGTGATGCTTTTGAAATAGCAATAGTTTGCAAACTTTAATGTGTGATGTCTTATTTTTTCTTTTTCCTCTATTGTCAAACTCAGTGTAACTTGTGAACCTCATTTACAATTTCGGCAGTAACTCATTCTGTTAACTCAAGGTTCACTCAGTTTCACCACATGTTCTTGGATGGAGTTAAGACCCCTTAGATGGAGTATTACCCAAGAGCCTCATCCATGGCCTAGGCTCTGCCTCCTTTTGTTTCCTGTCTAATCCTTTGATAGATCTGTCACTGTTTATATGCAGCCATGCTGAAGCACTTGCAGTTTCCTTAGCAGTGTCCTCAATGCTTTTCTTGCTTTTATTTTCAAAGATGTAGCTCTTTTTGCTAAGTAAACCACATTGTCCTTTCTCTCTTTTCACCTTCTTCACTGGAATTCACGTGAATGAATAAATGTCTACTCTATTTGACCTCTCTTTCAAAATATTTGATAAATACCTAACTTCTGAAAGCCCCAAAGAAGTAAGTTCATTTGCATTCCAAAGACAGAGAAACAGGCTCAGAGATTTACTCTGCTCCATAAAATTGACAAATATATAAATTGTAGATAAGGAATTGGAATTTCTGTTTCTGATTCCAAATTCTGTATCTTACTATACTTACTGTAACCTATTATTTGTTCATATATAATAGCAGATAGTAGTGGAATTCCTAATGCATATCAATCACTGAGATGAAGAAATGGTTTAAAAATTCTCAGTTCAGAGGAGTACATGTTGAGATAAATAAAACACGAATTGGAGACTTATGGCAACAGAGTCAGAGGGCAGAAAAAAATGCTGTGCTCTGGGAAGGTAAGAGTCTCCTCAGAGAAGAAACGTTTAAGTCAAGTCTTCAAATTTAAGTAAGACTTTCCTAGGCAGAGTGAATTTCAGGGAGGAATACTGATATTGCCTTTATTTTAAATTTTGATATTTTATCTTTTTTTTTGCATTGATTTTGATTTTTAAAAATGTTGCATTAAAATATTTACCTTGATGACTGAGTTTTTTGGCATCCCTTTAAACTTTGTGCCTGAAGCAAATGCCCTGTTCTTCTAGCTCTAGTCTTTTCCCTGGGAACAGTCACAGAGTTGGAAAATAAACAGCTTTACCAGTAAATGGCGAACAGTTCAGCCTTAGTGGAGTGAAGGGTGCAAGTCTGTGGGAGTGGTGGGGAGGTGGAGATTCTCCAAAGACAGTTGAGGGCTGAATTGTGAGGTGACTGTGCAATAGGCTAAAAATTTTGGTTTTGATTTTTAAAAAGAGTAATTGGAAGGCTTTTTTAAAAATCAAGAATAATATCAAGAATATTTTATTTTTGGAAGAATCCTTTGTAGAGGACTGAGTGAATCAGATCAAGACTTGAAGCAAGGTGATAAACTGAGTCAGTTTCATTAAACAAAATAAGAACTATTGAGAACCTAAATAAAAGCAATAGGAATAGATATTAATTTGGGTAATATAATCTTATAATTAATTTAAAATATTTTATGCTAATTATAGAATTTTAATTTTTTTTCTTCTAGGAATATTCATCTGGTCAAAAATTACTTTGAAAACGTCATCATCTTATTTTCTACCTTTTAATATTTTACTTGTCTCTAGTTAAGCTATAAAATAATGGTGAAGCATAACTTCACACCTCTACTTTATCTGATAAACACTGTTTTTCTTGTTCTCAAGAAAATCAACAGCAGGAAACCTCAGAGTTGATTTTGTTTAGCCTCTCACCACATAGCGAGAAAAAAAGGAAAATAAGTGCAAAAAGCCTGAGAAATTGAAAGTACACTCCAGTCACTTGAGAATTAGCTCTCATAATCCTTTACAAATTTCTTTTCTTTTCTTTTCTCTTCTCTTTTCTTTCTTTTTGTGGAGTGCAGTGATATGATCTCGGCTCACTGCAGCCTCGACCTCCCAGACTCAAGAGATGCTCCCATCTCAGCCTCCCAAGTAGCTGAGACTCCAGGGGCATGCCACCACACCTGGCTATTTTTGTATTTTTTGTAGAGATGCTGTTTTGCCATGTTGCCCAGGCTTGTCTTGAACTCCTGAGCTCAAGCGGTCTGCCTGCATCAGCCTCCCAAAGTGCTGGGATTTCAGGCTACACACTTTTTCAACCCTAATAAGGAGAAAGTTCCTCCGGTACATAAATGCTCAACTCATCCTAATGTTTTTTTCATTTGTTTACCTAGCAACAACATTCTTTCACTCTATAAGATATTTTTAAAAATATAGCCTATAAGAGAACAATTTGTCCACATATAGTTCAACCAGGGTTATGTCATATTTCATTATTTAAATCATGCTATATTTTTTGTGGGGATCACAGAATGATTATACTGGGGAATTAAGATATGAACATGATAAAAGGCAACTGCTGATGGATTTCATGTTCCTAATCACTTTGTGCCCTATCATCAGCAAGAGTCATAGCTATAAAAGTATGAAATTAAAACGAATGGAGAAAAGGCTGTAGTGAGTTTGTCCTGGAAAAATATGAGTTACTTTTTGAAGTAATAAGTAACTTTATTTTGGCAGTCACTCTTGGCAGACTTGGAAGATATTGTTTAATAGATTTTTCTGACTGTTTTCCTAATAGGGCATCTTCATCATGAACCTCAGTGCCAAGTGTCTTATCTCGTAAGTTATGATATCTTCTTTCAGGGGACAGAGAAATAGGAGTTGAGAAACTAGTTTCTAGTTTGGTGAACAGAACCTTCTCTAAGCAATTAGGAAAATGAGTATGTATCTGTAGCAGATGTTAGTTAGGGTTTTGTCATCATCCTTCTCCTTCCTTGCTTCTCCCTTATTTCCATTCCTTTTCTTTCTGCTAACTTGGCCATTTATTCATCCCCAAAGTTTCACCTATCCTCTCTAGATTGGTGGCTCAATCTCCTCAACTCATTCTGTTCTTCAGATATCTAGAGCTATAGTCTTATTTGCCTTCTAGATTTTTTTTTCTTAGAATAGCTCAGTTTCTAACAGTATAATATTTCAGATTGCCCTGCCTTTGCAAAAGATACTACTATTGGCTTAGTCAACTCAATGTGAAGCCTGTGAATAACCTTTCATTTTTTCCTTTTCCTAGAACCGCATCTTCTTGATACTTTCAGCACCTCCTCTTTCATCCCTCCATTTCCATCCTCACAGTATGTCGTTCATTATGACATGACTAGACCATTGCAGTAGCTGCTGCCTGGTCTTCCTTCCTTCGTGTTTAGCATTTTTGTCCCCTCTCCTCCAAACTCTAATTTATTCCAGGAATTTGAACTTTGAGATTGATTGTGTCACATCCTGCTCAAAAATCACTGTTTGCTTCTTCTCGTTTACTAATTAAGGTCAAACTTTCCATAGTCCTAACCTATCTATTTAATTGCATTTAACTATTGTTTTATTTTTAAATGTACATAGTGTGACATTTAATTTTTTTTTTTGCTATGCAGTTTTATGAGTTCTATGAGAATGAATAGTGTCATGTCACCATCACCACAATCACAATAAATAGGTTTTGTCACTGCCAAATCTTTCCTTTTGATGTTCCTTTGTAGTCAAGCTCCTCTTCCATCCCTGAGCCTTGGCCATAATTGATCTTTTTTCTGTCCTTATAGCTTTGCCTTTTCCAGAACATGACCTACATGCAATCATATAGTATGTAATATTTGGATTTAGATTCTGTCACTTAGCAGGACACATCTGAGATTCATCTTTGTTATTGCATATATTGATAGTTCATTCCTTTTAATTGCTGAGTAGTATTCCATTGTATGGATCACCAAAATTTTCTTATCCATTCATTAAAGGACATTTGAGTTATTTGCAATTTTTGGAAATTATGAATAATGCTACTATCAACATTCATATGCAGGTTTTTATGTGAATATATCCTTTCATTTATTTTGAGTAAATACATAGGAGTAAAAGAGTGGGTCATGTGGTAAGTGGATGTTTATCTTTATAAGGAACTGTCAAGCAATTTTCCAGAGTGGTTATACCATTACATTTCCAACAGGAATGTATGAGCATTCCAGTTGCTCTGCATCCTTGCCAGTGCTTGCTTTGTCAGGTTTGTGTGTGTGTGTATATATGTGTGTGTGTGTTGTTTTTAGCTATTCCAGTCCATGTATACTGATATCTCCTTGTGACTTTAATTTGCACTGCTCTAATGACTATTGATGTTGAAAATATTTTTATGTGATTTTGTGCCATTGTTATATTTTTTGGTGCAGTGTCTTCATATTTTCTGCTCATAGTTTGTTGAGGTTTTTCTTTTTCTTTTTCTTTCTTTTTTTTTTTTTTTTTTGAGATGGAATCTTGCTCTGTTGCCCAGGCTGGAGTGCAGTGGCATGATCTTGGCATGCCACAACCTCTGTCTCCTGAGATCAAGTGATTCTCCTGCCTCAGCCTCCCAAGTATCTGAGATTACAGGTGCATGCCACCATAGCCCGTGTAATTTTTGTATTTTTAGAAGAGATGGGGTTTCACCATGTTGCCCAGGCTGATCTTGAACTCTTGACCTCAGGCGATCTGCCTGCCTCAGCCTCCCAAAGTGCAGGGATTACAGGCATGATCC